TGACGGTGGTGTCATCAGAAAACTTAATTAGTTTGACAGACTCTTGTTTGGAGGTGCAGCTGTTGGTGTACAGGGAGAAGAGCAGAGGGGAAAGAACACAGCCCTGTGGTGAGCCGGTGCTGATGGTCTGTTGGTCTGAGACATTCTTCCCCAGCCTGACTTGTTGTTTCCTGTCTGTCAGGAAGTCAGTGATCCACCTGCAGATGGGGTCAGGCATGTTCATCTGGGACATTTTGTCTTGGAGGAGGTCTGGCAGGATTGTGTTGAATGCAGAGCTGAAGTCTATGAACAATATCCTGGCTTAGGTACCGGGGGAGTCCAGATGCAGCAGGATTAATTGTAGAGCCATGTAGATGCTTTCATGTGTTAAGAGACCTGAACTGCTTCTTTACATCTGCTTCATGAATGTGTGTGTTAAGAGACCTGAACTGCTTCTTTACATCTGCTTCATGAATGTGTAGGTTTGTGGTGGAGGTGTGTGATGTGAAGACCTCATGGGTGGGGAGTGAGGGGGAGGGTGATGAAGGTAAATTCCACAGTGATGGTGATGGCTCTGTAGTGGGGAGTGACTGACCAATGAGTGAGGCCTGCCTGATGGCTGATCAAACCGACAATAGAAATTGTTTAGGTTGTTTGTCAAGAGCAGGTTACCGGTGGAGGCGGGGGTTCTGGGTTTGTAGTTGGTGATGTTCCTGAAACTTTTCCACACAGAGGTTGGGCCGTTTTCAGAGATTTGCTGCTGCATTTTGTCATGATGCTGGTGTTTGGCTTTGACCAATTATTTGCTGAACCTGTATTTAGTGTCTCTGTAGGAGTCCTTGTCCCCCCTTTTAAATGCATCTCTCTTTTCTAGCCACAGCTGTTTGAGTTTAGGGGTAAACCAGGCTTTGTCATTGTTATAACTCACCCTGGTGTGTGATGGTATGATGCTGTCCTGACAGAAGTGGATGTAGGAGGTGACGGTATCTGTGAACTCATCTAAACTGTCTGAGGTGGCCTTCATTACCTCCCAGTCTGTGGTCTCAAAGCATGAGCGAAGCTCATCTGCGGCATCTGTGTTCCACTGTCTTGTTGACTTCACCACAGGCTTGGAGAGTTTTAGCTTTTGTTTGTAAGCTGGGATCAGATGGATGGTCATGTGGTCAGAGAGTCCAAGCGCAGCGCGCGCCACTGCATGATAGGGTCCTGTTACTGTGCTGTAACAGATCGCGCAGCATTGGATGGAGAGCCGGGGCACCCACAGTAGTTTTGGCTCGCTGAATAACAACAGACAGCTACTGCTTATAGGCTTGACTCTCCCATATTCCAGTTTGAAGTGACAAAGCTCCTTGGATGAGAAGAGAAACGTCTTCAAGAAACCAAAGAAGTCCAGTTGCCTTCATTTGAACCCTTTGGAGTACCATGATCTGAATGACTGAGAACTTTCACTCGCCCTTTTTACAGTTAGAATTGACAAAGCTCCTCAGATGAGAAGCAAACATCTTCAGAAAACCAAAGAATTTCAGTTGTCTTCATTTGAACAATTTCAAATATAACTAAATAGATAAAAAGAAATACTAATGACCAATAACAAGACAGGTCTTTGTTGCTTAATAGGTAATCTGTCTATTAAATAGAAGACATACATTCCCTCAGGTTTGTATATCATCTGTTTAATAGAATAAATACATGATATTACATTAGTGTGTAATGTATTTGTTTAGTGATAATGCATTGTGCTGAATTTATGGAATTTTTTTCCTTGTTGTAGATGCCTCGTGGCAAAGGGTACCATAGAGCTCAGGCCTTGAAGAACAGACAGTTTATGCCGAAGCCTGTGGAGGAGCTGTTCAAGGTTGTGCCAAGCTGTACGGCTTTTACTCCACGTAAGTTACATATTTAGTTTGTTTTCCAAAACAAATGTTTTTTTGAAAATCTTTATTGCATATTTAGAAATTGACATGGTGTATGCACACTGAGAAATTTCAGATAAATTAATGTGACACACTTTACAATTACATATTTACATTACATTGATATTGTGTTAATTTTTTTTCTTTATCTTTCCATTAGGTCACGGAACAGGCTTCAGGCACAGGGTTTGTCGTTGGCCCTTGTCTCCTAACACAGGCAAAAGTTTGAAGGTCATCATCCCACCAGAGTCTTCAGACAAGAAGGTACATTTAGCTATTAAACAATATTATGTGCTTATAGGTTCACACATAGATTGCTGTGTGTTTTTTAGTTTCTAAAGTGCTTTGTGATTTTTATCTTCAGAGATCCTTCATTAAAATGTTGTTTCTTCTTCTAGTTTGTCTTCGTCATTGGAGATTCACATCTCCGAGCCATTGTGGATGGCTATGTGAAGGTGCCTGAGGGGAAGCTGTCCTTTGGCTACCTGTCGGTTCCTGGTGGTACAGCAGCCAACCTTACCACTGAGGTCCGGCAGTTAGTTCTCCCACGTGCTCCAGATGCAGTGTGTCTGCTCGCTCCAAGCAACAATCTGGACAGTCCTATTTCTGAAGCAGAAAAAGACTTCAAGTGTCTTTTGAACACCATTTCCACTCTTTGTCCAAATGTAAGGATAGATGCAATTACAAATAATGTGCCATTAAAAAGGCAATTACTGAATCAAATTTATATTCTGGTGCTTTTTTCTAGAATGACTTTTAATGACATGTAAAATTTGTGGAAAACAGGTCTTTGTTTTGGATTTCCCTCCAAGACTGAGCCATGACACAGTTGTGCAGGACCATCTGAGGATGATGTTTCACAGAGTCTCAGTACAAATGGGTATGTTGAATTTTAGTGTGCAATATACAAAATGCTTCTAACTGGAAAAACTAATTGTTAACAAAATTTATTTCTTTCAGATGTCCCATACTCATCAATTGCTGAGCACTTCCCCTTTCATCGCCTGGATTTGTGGGGCAGAGATGGGGTAAGTGAGAAGCTTACTGATTTTTAATGATTAAGAGGTATTAGCTTTAGCTAAAAATGTGTTATTTTCTATAGGTTCATCTCAGTGACAGTGATGGTATGGACATTTTTGCACAATTGCTCTGGCAAAAGACATACCTGCACCTCCAAAGTCAGAAGGCCCAGGTTACTCCTAAGAAGTCTGTTGCTAGAGTGGTCGTTCAACACGCAAAGCCCATTCAACCCCAAGCAGACCAATCTAAGTGGAGAGTTGTTTTGCCTGGCAAGAAGGTAAATTGTTTTTTCTATGTTTTTATTTCAACTGCAGACATTATTTTGCTGTTTAGATATTCAACAGTCATGTAATATAAAAATTTTATTAATTTTTTTCAGAGGTCTACTCCAGCTGGTCCAAAGCAGCAGAGATCATCTTCAAAGATAATTCGTCTTCATGAGGTAAATGATTAATTTTAATTATTTGATAAATTAGATCATTCTTTTTTTATTTGATGTTCGCCATGTTGATTGATATGAGATTTTCTAACATTGTCTACATCACAATGTTCAGGCCGAAGTCTGCTTTGAGGTGAATCCTAAACACTTCCATGAAGATCTGCTGCATGTCTTGGAAAAAGACAGTACTGGATGTCCAGATGTGCTTTCACCAGATGTCCAACACAAAAAGGTAAATATGAAGAAAAATGGTTTTTCATTAAAGCGTTTTGATATTAATCTTTCATTCATTATTAATTTTAGATATTTGTCACCTAAAAATTTACAATATCTTTATATTTTGATGACAGGTGGTAAAACCTGAAGGAAAGCCAGTGTCCTCTGGAAAAGAGAAAAGTGTTGTTAACATGCAGGTTTGTTTTTTTTTTTTAATCTTTTTTTCTACTTGTTGGTCAAGTCCTCCTGTTAAACATGCACAAAGTAATTACATGCATTGTATTCTGTTATTTCAGGGACAGGCAACAACCATCCAAAAACCTCCTGCCACTACAACAGCACCAATGAAGGAGCAAGTGATCATGCCCTCTGATGATCATGAATGGCCAACACTTGCAGAGAGTTTAAAGGTAATTAAAATGTACACACACAATACTTTTGCAATATAAAGTAGTTATATTGCTTAAGAGGTACACATTTCTACAATAATGGAAAAATTAACATAAAACCTTGAATTATATTTTCTTTCAGACGTCTCACATTCATCCAAAAGGCTCACGTGGCACACTGATGTCTCGTCATCAGGTGAATAATCTCTCATTCAAAGAAAACAAATCAGTTTTGTTGCCTTTATTTGAAACCTTTGGATTGCAATGATTCCTTTCATTTACTTACAGAAGTACCTGAAGGACTGCAGTGTGGTCCTTCAAAAGCTGAAATTGAAAACTGATGACGCCAGTGTGCCATCGCCAGCCCCCAATGGCAAAACGGTGAGACCTATCAGCTTTTTTCATTGAATGATGCTCATTCTAAAGTTTTTACTCAAATACTTATATTCTTTGCTTATTTAAATAAATATTTTCATTTTAACAGTATGCAGCTGCTCTCCAACACCGAAGATCTGTTTCACACACAGATGTCACCAAAGACCAGGTCTGACATTGGATTTTAATATGATTGTTATTATTGACATCACATCATGTGCTTAACAAATATTTTTAAATTTCACAATACTAGAATATATTGTAAATATCCTGATGTGATTTCCAACAGGTTTGCTGTCACTCCCAGGAGCATTTGAAAGACTGCTCTGAGGTTCTACACCATCTCCAGATGAACAAAGACAAATACAGTGTTCTATCACCTGTACCAAAAGGCAAAATGGTAGGACCTATATAACATATTCTGATTATTGATGTTTAATAGCGTACTTAATCCTACACATTCTTTCCAATACATATACAATTCCTACATATTATAAAACTTTTTTTTATTTTAACAGAACACAGATGCTCTCCAAGACCAAGGACCTGTTGACCTAGGAGATGCTACAAAGCAACAGGTCTGACATTTTCCCCAAGTGAAAACATGCCCATTTTATTCATAGATTTTCTTCTAATTTTTGAATCTTTGTGTTTGTTTTCACAGGAATGTAAGGAGAAGGAGACGAGTGTTCAACATGAGAAGTTCCATGATGCTCCTGGTGCTGCAGCTTCAAGTGTTACCACTGCATCTTCCTCACCAAATCAGGAAAGTTTGAACATTTTTCATTCTATTGTCAAAGGTTCATTTCATCAAGGTCATAAGCGTTTTGGGTGCAACCGATTTAAACAGTGTGCACCAAACAGCATTACAGCCATCATGACAAACACTGTCAAAATGGCTTCCACATGGTCAAGAAAAGACATTAACAATATCTTGATAAGTGGTGATAGTTTATACACTTACATGAAAGAGCAAAACATGATCAGTGATGCAGAAGGCAGTGGTTATGTTTTTGTTCAAGAATTACCCACAGAGCACACATTCCATCACCACAAGTTTTCTTTGGAATACATGCAGACCTTCACAGGACATCTTCATCAGCAGATTTACCATGAAGATGTTTCAGATTTTGCCATGCCTTTGGACGTTGCATTACAGAGAGCTATATTTGACAATGACGGCTGTCTGTTTACAATTAGTAGAAACACATGTGCAGTTTTGAAAGAACAATCTCAGTTTTCTGTTTTTGATCCACATTCACGTGGTCATGATGGTCTCTGGCAGTTGAATGGCACAAGCATAGTAGCACACTTTGATACTTTAGACCAAGTTTATACACATTTAATCAATCTCTCTCACTCTTTGTGTGCTGACAATGCAAATGAAGAGGACACAGCTTTTGAAATGACCGGTGTTAAGGTGACAGCTCAATCTATGAGTAAACCTATCCAAAGGAAAACTGCTTCTTGCCAACATGATGTAGAGTTAATCAGTGGAAATGATGACAGTTTTGATGACGATACATTTGATCAGTTAGTAGTTGAAGAGATTGAAGATGTGGCAGTTAGTGACACATCTGAGTCTCTTTCTGAATCTCCATCTCGTTGTGAGCTCCTCCATACGCAAAATAGTTCTTTTCAAGATGAAGCAGAGTCAATATGTACTAGTTTTGATGATGATAGTTTTGATAAAGTAGTACTTCAGGAAATAGAAGATATTGCAGTTAATGACACCACTTCCCTTGATGTAGACTCAGTAACTGAAAATCATCACACTTCTTTGGATCAAGCAATAATTGAAGAAGTGCCACAAAATGATACATCTGTTTTAATAATTTCAGAAAATATCAACAGCACTGTTACTTTCAATCCTCTGACCTCTAAAGACAAAAGAAATTTTTGCACCCAACTACAGATAGTTCCAAGTTTAGAAAGGGTGAAAAGTCTTTGGGAAAGTATTACATTAGATGAACCGTTACCTTGTACCACTATACACATCCAGCCAGACGGCAACTGCTTTTTCCGTGCTCTTGCATTTGTAATTACTGGGAATGAAGAGTTGCATATGTGGATTCGCAGGGCTGTTGTTAATCATATTCTTCAAAATTCTGACCTCTATTCAAGTTACATCAGACAGGAATTTGAATCAGTACAGCAGTATGTTACACAAACAGGCATAAAGAAAGTTGGATCCTGGGCTACAGAGATTGAGATACAAGCAGCTGCAGACTTTTTTCACACCCATATTTACACTTACACTCAAGGAAAATGGTTACAATATGGCTCTTCTAGTACTTTAGACAACACCAAGGGTATTTATCTGAAACACTGTAATGAATGTCATTATGAGCCAATCGCATGTGTGAAAGATAAAACGAACACATGTTTTAACCTGATCTCATGTAATTATAGTCACTTTAAAGGTGAGAAGGACATACTATCTCCATCTAAGATAAGCAGAGAGAACAGGAGAAAGAGAACTCTGTATAATGAAGACATTGAGATAAGGGAAAGCAAAAAAATGATGTTACAGAAATTATATAAAGACAATCCTAAGTACAGATTACAGAAGAAGCAATTAAGTGTCATTACATATAGAAATAAGCCAGACCTGAGAGCAAGACTCAAACTTGCTAATAAACAAAACTACTACAAAAAGCCGGAACTGAGAGCAAGACTCAGACAAGACAGTAAAGAAAACTATAAAAACAAACCTGAAGTGAGAGCAAGACTCAAACTTGCCAGCAAAACCACTTATGCAACCAAAAGTAAACACTCTAAGCTTCAGTTATTGAAACAGAACGTAGAAAGATATAGAAATAAGGTTGACCACCGTAACCGCATCAAACAGTCTAATTCTGAACGGTATAGAAATGTAACTGCTTATGCCGATTCTATTAAAGAGCACGGAAAACGTAGACGACAAAATCTCATGACTGGAAAAAAGTCCATAGACAATGTCATTCAGCTTTTTAGAGAAAAGGTTAAATTTGGCCCTCAATTCGTCTGTTGTGTTTGTCATCGATTACTTTTTAAACATCAAGTTGTTGGATGTAAAACACAGCAGTATGAAATTAGAGGTTCATTCATTTCATCTGTGGCAAAAAAATGCATCACTGACACTTATTTACACAAGTGTGGACAGTCTTCAGTTTCCAAATGCCATCTAGAGGTTAGCCCTGCATGTAAATTGTGGGTCTGTTTTACTTGTCATCGTAAAATGCTCAATGGAAAAGTCCCTGAAGAAAGTGTTGCAAACAATATGCACCTAGATTCTATTCCTGTAGAACTTAGTACGTTGAATCCTCTTGAGCAACATCTAGTGGCACAGCACATTCCGTTTATGAAACTTTTAGCCTTACCAAAGGGAGGCCAAAATGGTGTCCATGGACCTGTGACTTGTGTTCCATCTAATACAGAAACTGTGAGTAACATTCTACCCAGATTAGATGATCAGAATCTAATGATTAAAGTGAAACTGAAGCGAAAGCTGACATACAAGGGTCACTATGACTATCAGTATGTCAACGCTCTGAAAGTACATAATGCAATTGCATACCTTAAATCTCACAATACTTTTTACAAAGATGTACAATTTAACAGTGCATGGACAAATCCCCTAGAAAAAGAGTCTGAAAACTCTACCTCTGAAACTGACAACGTCACTTTGGAAGAAGACAGCAATAGAGCTGAAATAGAGTGTGAACATCCTGGCAAAGGAGATGGCAGTGGCACAGAGGTAGAGTCTGAAGATCTTGTTAGCGATGATCATTTTAATGATAGACAACAGCATGGGATGTTTTTGGACACATGTATGCAACCAGTAGACATTGCCCAAGAAATACTAGACAACCATTTTGACAGTGTTTTATCAGTAGCACCAGCTGAGGGAAATACTCCAGTCAGATTGCTTACCGATACTTCTAATGAGGCTAAATGCTTTCCAGTTCTGTTTCCCAATGGAACAGGTACATTTCATGATGCAAGAGAGCAAAGGATTACACTCAGCAAATATTTAAACACCCGAATTCTCAATGCTGATGGCAGATTTGGCAAGAACTTGGATTATATCTTTTATGCACAATATTTGTCAGAAGTTAATCAAGTTGTGTCAAATGTTTCCATTGCACTGAGAAAGGGCTACCATGGCTTAGACAACACCAACATTACATCATCCATGCTGGGCAATACAGACTTTTTGAAGAATGTTTTAAATGCTGACATGGGCTATAAGTTTTTGAAGCCCATTAGAGGTACACCAGTATTTTGGCAGGGAGTTCAAAAAGATCTGTTTGCTTACGTTAGACAACTTGGCATTCCTACATGGTTTGCTTCCTTTTCTTCAGCAGATTTAAGATGGCCAGAATTTATGGAAGCTTTTATGGCTATAGAAAACATTCAAGGCAATATTCATGACATGGACTGGGCACAGAAATGTGACTTATTGAAAAACAATCCAGTGACAGCAGCCAGAATGTTTGACTATAGATTTAGATCTTTTTTAAAAGATGTTATCATGTCTCCCGCTCAGCCAATTGGTAAAATCATTGATTATTTTTATAGAGTAGAGTTTCAGCAACGTGGATCATGTCACACTCATTGTCTATTTTGGACCGACGGGCCTAAAATAGGAGTCAACACAGACGCTGAAGTCATAGCTTTTGTAGATAAATATGTTACATGCGACCTCCCACCTGACAGTGACCCTCTCCATGAAGTGGTACATAGTGTTCAAATGCATAGCAAAAAACACTCTAAAAGTTGCAGAAAAAATCACACAACTTGCAGGTTTCACTTTCCCCGACCACCAAGCAACAATACATTCATATGTAAACAGGAAACAGATGTTGATAATAAGGAAAACCCATCTGACAAAACATCTTCAGATTTAAAAAAGGCAGCCAAGCATATCATGACCAAAGTTAAAGAAGCTTTGACCAGTGAAAACAACACATTTAGTAGCATAGATGACTTGTTTAATTCCATTGGTATTGACCAGACTACATTTGAAACAGTTTACAAATTGACCTCTACAAAAACAACTGTCGTCCATAAACGAAACATAAACGACATCTGGGTTAACCAGTATAACACAGACCTGCTACGTTGCTGGAATGCAAACATGGACATCCAGTTTGTCTGTGATGCATATGCATGCATTGTTTATATCATTTCCTACATATCCAAAGCAGAAAGAGAAATGGGTTTGCTATTAAAACATGCACAAAATGAAATCAAACATAATGAAAACCTGGATGCAAAACAAGCGCTTAACAAATTAGGGAATGTGTTTCTGCATAACAGAGAAGTTTCTGCTCAAGAAAGTGTGTATCGGGTAACAAACATGAGATTAAAAGAGGGCTCTAGAAAAGTCACATTTGTTCCAACAGGTGACAACATTGTCAGAATGAGCTTACCTCTTAATGTCATTCAAAACAGTGCTAATGGTAATCAGATCTGGATGACAAACATTACTGATCGATACAAAAGCAGGCCTAAGTCCAGTGAATTTATGGACATGTGCATAGCTACTTTTGCCTCAGAATACAGAAATGTACCAAACAGTGAGAAATCTAGACCAGAAGTGGTTAGTTTATTAAACAACAATGGTTGTGTAAGGAAGCGGACAAGGACAAATGTAGGTGTTGTTAGATATGCTCGTTTTTCTAAAGAACAAGATCCTGAGAAACACTATCAAAGCCAGCTTCAGTTGTTCCTTCCTTATTACACGGAAAACCAGTTAAAACCAACACAATTTACAACATTTCAAGAGTTTTATGAGACCGGCTCAATCACAAACAGTAGTAAAAACATCCAGTCTGTCAAAGACGTAGTAGAATTCAACAGATCCAAGTTTGAAATCAAAGCAGAAGATTTACAAAACATACAGGAAGATATTGAACACTTTGGATTTCAAGAAGATGTTTGGGCAGAGCTGTGTCCTGAGGCAGAACTAGACCGATTGGAATGTTTGGAAGACAGATCTTTAGATAACAATCCAAATCCTGGTGAACAAGAAGTTATTCCAGATCTAGAGCCAATCACAAAACCAGCTTTATCATTTCACATTCAAAAACAGATAGTCTCACACAAGGAAGCACAATCCTTAATGCGTTCTCTAAATCAGCAGCAGAGCAACGTGTTTTATAAAATCCGGCAGTGGTGCTTAGATAAAGTAAACGGTCACAATCCAAGCCCTTTTTATGTTTTCATTTCAGGTGGAGCGGGAACAGGCAAGTCCCATTTGGTAAAAGCTGTGTCCTATGAAACAACCAGAATACTATCCAGATTATCTAATTATCCTGATGATATTCATGTTTTACTGACTGCCCCCACTGGAGTGGCTGCATTAAATATCAATGCCACAACAATACATAATAGCTTTGCAATTGGCAACAATATTTCATTACCATACCAGCCTTTAAGAGAGGAAAAAATAAACACATTAAGAGCAACCCTGAAACATTTACAGATCTTGATAATAGATGAAATCTCAATGGTTGATAACAAGCTTTTAACATATATCCATGGTAGACTGCGTCAGATCAAACAGTGTTCAGACTTTTCTTCATTTGGTAATGTCTCCGTCATAGCTGTTGGTGATTTTTATCAGTTGCCACCTGTCAAAGGGACTCCACTCTACAAGGACCCCATTGGTTCCAATTTGTGGCAAAACAGTTTCAGTCATGTAGAACTCACAGACATAGTACGACAGAAAAACAAAGACTTTGCTGTAACACTTAACCGTTTAAGAAAACACAAAAAAGACCAACCACTTCACCCACAAGACGAAGCTCTTCTCAAACGATGTGAAACAGGCATGGCTGAAGACACTGAAATTCTGCATCTTTTTGCAACAAACAGTGATGTTGATAATCATAACTTCAACATGTTGCATAAACAATGTACAGACATTGTACAAATCAAAGCCCAAGATTTCCATAAAAACCCTCAGACTGGCCGTACCACTAGAATACCCTCAACACTTGATTTTGGCAAGAAAACCTATTTAGATAAATTACTAAGCGTTGCTCCTAAAGCTCGTGTAATGCTCATTAAAAACATCGATGTTTCTGATGGACTTGTTAATGGTGTGTTTGGTACTGTTTGTCGCATCCAATTTCTAAGTAACAATAGCTTCCCACACATCATTTATGTTAACTTTGATAACCCAAGTATAGGCCAACAACTACGACACAAGTTTCCAACTTCAGACACCGAGCTGACTAATGCCACACCAATTAGTCCCGATGAAGATAAACTTGAAAAGGGGGTTAGACGTCAATTTCCACTGCGGCTGGCTTGGTCTTGCACCATACATAAAGTCCAAGGCCTAACACTACAGAAAGCAGTAGTCTCTTTTAAAAGGATTTTTTCTGCTGGACAAGCATATGTAGCTTTAAGTCGTGTTACATCACTAGAACACCTCACTATCCAAGATTTTAAGGCTAAAGCAATCTATGCAAGAAGTGATGTGGAAGAAAACTTGAAATTAATGCCAAACTTTATCGACACACCAGTTTCAATGCCAAACTGCACTTTTAAAGTCTGTCTTCATAATGTGCAAGGTCTCAAGAATCACATACAGGATGTCAAGAGCAACCAAAAACTACTCACAGCCGATATAATTTGTCTGACAGAAACTTGGTTAAAAGAAACACATCCCCCTGAAAGCATTTCACTGCCAGGTTGGACTTTTCACCACAAAACAAGATCTGACTCATACGATGAAACTGGACTATTTTCTACATTCAGAAGCAAAAATGGTGGTGGTGTTGGTTTCTATCACAAAAACAGCATTATGTGTAAAAGTATGGCTTTCAATTGCAACAACCTGGAAGCTTTGCTTTTTAGCACACAGACTTTAAACCATCATTATATGCTGTTGTACAAACCACCATCATATAACCTTCAGAAATTCAAAGACAATCTAAGACCTGTACTGCATTATTTCAATGAATTTCCAGGAACCAAAATAGTCATGGGTGACATGAATGATGATGCACTGGTTTCTAATTCATTTGTCAGCTTCATGAAATTGCAAGGATACACTCAAATAGTAACAAGTCCAACAACTGAAAATAATACTCTAATTGATCATGTTTACATCAAAGACATTGATCCCAAAACCATACATGTAGAAGTTATTCCCACCTATTACAGTTACCATGAATGTATTCAAATATCATTCTTGACAGAAACAGACACAGACATACAGTTACAGGAACTGGGGACAGACAGACAGGGACTCCAGGACAAATAGCCTCAAAGGGAAAGACAGACAATCACAGATAGATGGACGGGTGGACACCAGAGCTGACCATAAATTACACATAGAGGTCCGTTTAATCATCTAAACTTATTTGGACTCTTATACCATACCATACCATACCATACCTCACCATACCTTACTGTTTAATGTATATTTAGCATGTGAAATACACTTTTTATCCATAAAAAAGTGTATGACAGTATCACACTTACTTGTGGTTTTGATAATGGACACTTGAAATGTTACTTTGTGTTGTGCCATTACTGTTTCAATATATAAAAATGTATCCATTTAGATATTCACAATTTCACTTATTCTAGTACTATTTTTATTTTCCTTTGTTAAAGATTTCATTTTACAGCACTCTTCTTTTTTTCAATCTCCACTAGGAACAATCACCCACCAGATGAAGTTCCTGAAACAACACAACCGAAATCTGCAGAATCAGCAACCATCATGTGACCACGCCGCCCGCCTGTCGTCCTGTTTGCTTCCCAGCCTGCCTTACTACCAGCCTCTAGACCTGCATCATATCCTGCCTCACTGTCTGCCTCGCAACCTGTTTCCTCATCCCGTCCTGGATCCTCATTCTCTGCTGCTTGTCTGTCCCCACCTGGCCCCAAAGCCCCAGCCCTGCCTCACCAAGACCGATCATCTCCAGTAAGAATAGTTCTCCAAACAACTCCAGTTCTGGTTCTCTGGTTCCAGGGTTTCATGATTCTAACACCAGTTTGCTTTCCCCTTCTAGATCTCGATCCCTCCTATTCCAATTTGGAGCACCGTTTTCAGTTTCACATTGTTCTTAATAAATATTATTTGTTATTCACTTGCCATCGTTTCCATCTGTGATTTTTTCATGTCCTGGGTAAAACATTCCCAATATGACACTTTGCCTCAGAATGCCCTTCTGCCACTTTGCTATACATTGTGTAACACATCATTTGTACATTTACATATGTAGATAACAATAAAGTGTTTTCTGTACTCTTGAATCAATATAACTTCTGGAATCCTAATTTCAATGCACAGTGTTGTAAAAATTTTGTTTCCTCTACAAAGTCTCCCCCACAATTGGCAAAATTTGACATACAATAAACTGCTGTTTTTTTTAATTGAATTGTTTAAATAATGTCATTTTTACCTACATATCCATATCTTTGAACTTACAAAATGAAGTGTTTCACTTAATTTTGGGCAATTTCGTGCTCATAATAAATGTTTACTCGTTTTATTTTGACCAAATGTCTACTCGTTTTATTTTGACCAGAGATAACTATGTGATTTTGACCATGGCCAGAGAAAACTGTTACAAGAATGTGCAGGGCAAGGGTCCACTGGCACAAATTGCAGGAAATCTTTAGATCAAATATGAATTTATTCAGTGTTGTTTCAGTCAGTTCAATTATCAATCTCCATATATCTTCTTATTGAAAAAAAAAATTAAAAAACTATAAAATAACAAAACTTGAATTCTCATGACCCATGATGATTTTCAAAAAACATTGGAGGATTTCCTGTGAAAACAATTTATTTTTCATACATTTACTAATCATTGTTAGTAATATTGAAATGGTAAATGTTTTGGATTTGTATAGCGCCTTAGTCCCTTAACAACACAATCAGTCTTTCACCCATTCACACACACAGTCATACGCTACTGGGAATGAGCTACAATGTAGCCACAGCTTCCCTGAAGCACACTGACAGAGGTGAGGCCTGCCGAAAACTGACACCACCGGTCCCTCCCAGCACCAGCAGCCAAGGCGGGTTAGGTGTCTTGCCCAAAGACACAACAACAACATTCTCTGGTCAGACTTGGAATCAAACCCAAAACCTTCCAATTATTGGAAATCCCGCTCCAACTCCTGAACTTCTGCTGTCCAATACAGTACATGACTTAACTCACTAAATCTCCGCAGTCTTTAAAATTAAACAATGGAACTTGATTGTAATAGGAATTGAGAAAGTATCCATGCCTATGAAAGATTTTCCTATAGGCTGTGCAAAAGGTTCAAGGAGATTTCATGAGTGTTCGTTTCATTCTGCCGCTTTAGAGAGCTGACACCAGGCCTGCAGGAGTCTGCATTCAGCCATTCACACACAGTCACATGCTGGTGGGAATGAGCTACAATGTAGCAACACCTTCCCTTGGGTGTACTGAGAGGTCAGGCAGCATTTTCTGGTCAGAGTTGGGATCGATCCTTCAACCTGTTGATTACCGCACATGCCGCTCCACTTCCTGAGCTAATTCTGTCCCATGCAGAACATGATTTCGCTCATTAAATCTTCACGTTCTTTGATAAGGATACAGTGGAATTTGATTGTAATCACGATTGAGAAGTCAGCCATGCCTGTGAAAGATATGTTTTATAGGCTAAGCAAAACGTTTTGTGACGTATCCTGAGTGTTACTTTCATTGCGCCGGTTGAAGTGAGCTGACGGGACGCCGGCGGGAGAACGTGTTTTTGGGGCGGGACCGCGTGAGGACTGACGAAGGTGAGGGCGGGGCCGGGTGGGCGACTGGCGCTGGGGGCTTGGAACCCGTTGATAACTGCTTGCAGTTCTAGTTAGGGTTCCAAGCCCAAAGGGCAGGGAACCCTATTGTTTTTCTACGGATTTTTCATTATTATTTATTATTAGGGTTCCAAGCCCAAAGGGCAGGGAACCCTATTGTTTTTCTACGGATTTTTCATTATTTATTATTCTTCATTATTCTTCTCCGCTGTGTCTGTATGGGGGCAAGAGCCTGAAATTGCCAGGAAAAATCTGACAAGGCAGTCTGATACAAAATCCTGACCGCTACTCAGATTCGAAAATTTGGACCCCGAGTCACCTAGGTGGCGCTATTGCGGAGGTGAATACGTTTCAGCTACTAGCTCCCAAACCGTAGGTCCTACAGTCAAAAACTTTATATGTACATGATCCTTGGATAATTCTGCACGTCGTTTGTATTGGCCACGCCCATTTCCGCCTAACTAGATTTTTTGCTAGATCGCAAAAAACGCAAAACTTACTTTTAATCACCTATTCGTCATTTTTCGTTGAATCAACTTCAAACTTCGTACATGTGATCTATGGACTAAGGTAAGTTGTTGTGATGAAGAAAAATGCAGAAATATTGAAAATTGGGCTAATGACACCATGTCAAAATCAGTGCGCTAGCTAGCACATGTGGTAATTGATGATATCTTCACCATTTCTCAAGATAAATTGATGAGACTCTAGACCCTTATGAAGTATGAGCGGTAAGCCCTATCTACCCCATTTTGTTTGGATTCACCAATAGGGGGCGCTAAAGAGTCAAAAAGTTTGTTTCAGCTAAACGGCTTGATGGATTTCCACAGAACTTGGCACATATGTTAATCATCGGACCCTTAAGCTATATTTTGAAAATGATTAAAAAGTGGGCGTGGCTTATAGGCTTTAAAATTTTTCGCCCTTTTACTCATGAAAAATACATATTCTATACAGAAAATTACAATTCATATCAGTCATACTGACATCTACAATCACAGAAAATTTTTTGAATTTTGTCCAATAGGTGGCGCTGTGGTACCTCAAAAATATTTTTGGCATGTTTCTCCCCATTTCTTTCGTAAAAAAACAAATGATCTCGTCCAGTGTGTTCAATGAGTCAGTCAAATTTAGATGAGTATTTTAAAAAATGTTTTAAACTTATGCAAATTAGTAGAATTTTGCATAGTAAGTCCAACGTACTTTCGTTAACTCCTCCCGGCCGTCAAACTCAATCACATCACAACTTTCCCTGACAAGAGAGGAGGAGCGGCTGACCAAAAGATGTGAAGGGATTTTCAATAAATTGCTTATTTTTTTTAATATGATTTTTTAAAATAATTTTTTGGGAATGAAAAAGTTTTTTTAGCGTAACTTCAGAAGATTTTGAGATTTTTTAAAGCTGTTCATAACAGTCATACCTAAGGTCAATTCAAGTGTATGTTCTGGTTTTCAACTTGATTAAACAATAGGGGGCGCTATAACTGGGAAGAAATTATACTGCTGAACCGGCTAAATGGATCTGCAAGAAACTTAGTGGTTGTCATCACTATAGAGTCTTAAGACTACATTATCAATATGGTAATTATTGATCAAAGTGGGCGTGGTTTATGATCATTTAAAATTTCAAATTTGAAAAATTTCCTAAAAATCACTATTTGCATGTAAGAGGCTAAGATTTCCAGATTGTGTTAACTGGATAGGCTAGAGCTTATGTCACGAAAGCCGCAGCTCTACGAAGAGGTTTGCGCTTTATATTTACGAAAATACATTTTCAGGCTAGCAATTGTAGCGCAAATTCTGTTCTCACAATCTTCTTGTAATTTGCCACAAAGTTCCCTCTTAGGTGGTTTATAAAACGAAAAAAATGTCGTCTTGATTTGAGCTCCCCCTTGTGTTTAATTATAGGACATATTTTTGCCTACAGCCACTAATGCAAATATTATTTTATTGTAAGAAAAGTTTGACAATTATGATCTTTTCAAAAATATGAGCACAATAGACACATCACAGAGGCAATCTGGGAATATTTTGAGATTTTTGTACAAAAGCATTGATTTTTAATGAATTTTTTACTTTTTGCCAATTTTTCTGTATAGTTGGACAACAACGTAATTACTTTTTGTTAGAAAGTTTTTTTTAGGTATACAGTAAATATAAGCCATTTGCAACATTCCACATGTACCTATGGTGATCTGAGATTTTTCTCCTAATTTTAGAAAGTAGCACTATTTTTTTATGAATATTTTAATTTTTGTTGTGACCTTTATAGTTATATTTCCCAATTTTTCTTCAAAAAAGCTTTGAGTCTACTGATTTAAAAACAACACCGTGTTATTCCGCATGTTAACACTGCCATGTGAGAATATTTTGGTAATTTTAGGATGATTTATGTATTTTTCATGATTTTTTAAAACATTTGGTCAGTAAGTCACAAAATGAAACTCGTAGTTTTTGTTGAAAATCTTTTAAATCTAAAGACATTATCAAGTATTTATGTTATTTGTAATATTCTGTTGATGTATAGATTATTGTTTGATAATCTCACTCATTAAATCTTCACGTTCTTTTATAAGGAAACAGTGGAATTCCATTGTAATCACCATTGAGAAGTCAGCCATGCCTCTGAAAGATATGTGTAAAGGCTTTGCAGGTTTAATGACGTATCCTGAGTGTTACTTTCATTGCGCCGGTTGAAGTGAGCTGACGGGACGCCGGCGGGAGAACGTGTATTTGGGGCGGGACCGCGTGAGGACTGGCGAAGTTGAGGGCGGGGCGGGTGGGCGACTGGCGCTGGTGGCTTGGAACCCGTTGATAACTGCTTGCAGTTCTAGTTTATTATTTATTATTATTCTTCTCCGCTAAAAGGATATGGGCGCAAGAGCCTGAAATTGCCAGGGAAAATCTGACATGGCAGTCTGATAGAAAATCCTGACCGCTACTCAGATTCGAAAATTTGGACCACGCGTCACCTAGGTGGCGCTATTGCGGAGGTCAACACGTTTCAGCTACTAGCTCCCAAACCGTAGGTCCTACAGTCAAAAACTTTATATATACATGATCCTTGGATGATTCTCCATCTTTTTTGTATTGGCCACGCCCATTTCCGCCTAACTAGATTTTTTGCTAGATCGCAAAAAATGCAAAACTTACTTTTAATCACCTATTCGTCATTTTTCGTCGAATCAACTTCAAACTTCTTACATGTGATCTATGGACTAAGGTAAGTTGTTGTGATGAAGAAAAATGCAGAAATATTGAAAATTGGGCTAATGACACCATGTCAAAATCAGTGTGCTAGCTAGCACATGTGGTAATTGATGATATCTTCACCATTTCTCAAGATAAATTGATGAGACTCTAGACCCTTATGAAGTGTGAGCGGTAAGCCCTATCTACCCCATTTTGTGTGGATTCACCAATAGGGGGCGCTAAAGAGTCAAAAAGTTTGTTTCAGCTAAACGGCTTGA